AGCGAGCTGTAAAGGCATTTCAGAAATGAGAGCCTGAATTCGCGGATTTAGGCGAGCTATTTAAGTTCACCCACCTACTTTATAGTGTCATCACTAATCACTTTAGCATGATTCCACATGAAACGTTGCAAGAGTTCCTTGTCATCCCACTTCTCAGCACAGTGCCACTGTAAACAGTAATCGCGGGCTCGTGCTTCACCTTAAATTTATGGTACAGAAAGCAAGGAAGAAAATTCAGTGGTGAAATGTACCAAGTTCGTCCATCAAAACGTGCAGTCGAATATACTTTTCTTGACAGAGATCACTTGATAGCAGATTGAACCTACGATAGCACTGAGACACCACCTCCAACAAACTGGATGGAATGGCTCCGCATGCAGGAGAGAAGTCGGCAATTAGACAAAGGAATATTTCTAAAAACCGGTTCGTTTTAATTTGAGAGAAAATTGAAGAAAACACACGGACCAAATAACTCAAACATCGTCCACGATCCCTCTTTGACAGTGGTCATCAACAAGAACAGCAGCAAATCAGTGTCTATATATTTCGAGGAGAGTTCTGGTGAAGGAGTACGAGAAGGTCTCTTTATCAAGATTTCTTTGAGGGGTTGGATGTAGTTTACCGCGAATCCCAAGCAACTTGCCAACTGCAATAAATACTGCAAACTATAGAAGGAAAACACACGAGGTGACTAGATTTCAAACTCAGAATTGTATGAGAATGTAACAAAATTATTTGAAATAAAGAACGGAATCAAAGTCTTGGATTGACACTGCTGGTAGCTGATATGTAATTCTGGATGATTGAACTCACGAACCTCAACAACTGGTAATGTTCCATCCAAGCGATGAATATCGGCAGCGGGCTTCTCAGCTGTATCCTCGTCCTCGAGCGGTATCTCCATAGCGTTGCGCATAGAGCTGCGCACGAAGCAATCACTGGCTTCAAAGAGACTAGTAGATCGCTGCCGGAACCTCCCCGTATGTGAAGCGGTCTAAGTATCGAAGCATCAACAACTCAGGTAAGTAATCCACAAATAGTTCACCTGGTTCACCAAATACTCCACCGTCTCAATTATGTCTAAAACACTCTCAAGTACACCCTGTGCATCCAGCAAGTTTCTCCGATCGTCCCATTGAGTAAAAGTAATTTGTTGCAATGAGAGCTCAAAAAGGATTTTGATTGAGTAAAATCAAAAATAAGAATGACACCATTGCACTCAATGGTTTTGCGAAAAAAGCAAACTCACAGAGGAGTAAGCCTCAATTCTATCAAACAGATCGCAAAACAGTGTTCCGATGTCTGCTACTCTGCAAAATTTTCCGATATCACCTGCATCTATCAGCATACCGCAATTTGATGCAAAACAGACGTTTGTTCCGCGTCAACAGTAATCTCTATAAGATCTGGTACAGCCGAGCTTGCTTCATTTGGGATAGCGTTGATTTTTTCTTCCAACTCTGCGAGTCGCTCGGCCATCTGCAATGAACAGCTCAGGTAGAAGAAACCCTGCTGAAGCAAACTACAATAAAAGAAAACGGGAGCTCGCAAACAGAACTACACAAGTTTCATCGACTCAAAGTCAAATTCAAAAGTGTCATCCA